TTATAAAATTGATAAAAGATCTGTACCGATCTAACTTTATATTCAAGAAAAAAAATTTTTTCATAAGAATAAGATATTTTCAATTTTTCTATATAATTATTTTTTATATGCGTACAATAATCATTAAAAAAAAAAAACAATTATTTTGAGCATGTTATAATTTAAACATTTTGTATTTTATAGATTATCAGTGAGTATCAGTATCAGTGAGTTAAATTATCTCTTAAGTTTAATCAGTAAAAGAATATTATAAATATAAATATAATATCTCAAGGTTTCATTATTTTAAGATAGGCCAGAACATAACAGAAATATTTAACTCTGAAATATGTATAACCATTTCTCAAATTTATTGCGCATACAATAATGCAAATATATAAAGCGCACAAAATTGAGTTTGATGCCGATGCAACAAATTGAGTTTGTTGTCGGGTTTGTCATTTCCCGAGATATTTTGGTGGTAGAATTTATTATATGTATACTAGAATATATTAATTGCAGGAGATGCAAAAATCACACACTGAAATTGGGAAATATAAATTTGGAAACATAAATAGACAAAGATTTAAAATATTTCACATGACCACAAGGAGTATACTCGATAAAAAAGTGATAAATAGAAAATAATGGAACATTTTTGGTAAAATATAGGAACTGTCTTTAAATCTAGTAAAAATATTATCATCTGTTATATCTCTATTATATTTTTTTTTTTTTATAAACATAGAAAAAATGTTAATAATTAAATACATTTTTTATCTCTTTTTCATCTTCTTTCCTAAATATTTTTTAAATAGTATTTGATATCTATGCGCATTTTTTTTATTTCTCCATATGTATCTCTTTCAGAGTTAAATATTATATAAATTAATACGGAACAGAGAGAAAGCCAAATATTTTCATTTTATAATCATATGCTTTTTCAACATACACGTATAACAAGTACACATAAAAAAAGAACAAAAAATATTTCACAATCACATAGCACAAATTTTAATTAAATTACTCAATTCAAAATGTATTAATAATTATTAATTTTATTAATTCGTGCAATGCAATCCAATCTTTCACAATCTATTTATTCATGTTTAGAGACAACCTAACTTTGTCATTCGGGACAAAGTAAAACGACATGAGATAAATATTTTATCGCAAAACAAAAAGATTTTTTCGTAAAATTATCTTTTATCTTTAAAATTATTAATTACAAGTTTTATTTTATATATATGTCAATTATGTTACAATACTTGATATTGAAATAATTCCTCGTGTATTATATTAAAATTGATTCTGATAGCATATTGAGAATATCATAATCACATATCAATATTGAAATTCTTAAAGATGTATATCTCGGTAACATGCAAATTTTATACTGATAGTTAAATACTAATTATGCGCGGGCCCATTATTTGTTTGGATCTCACGGTCTCATTTTTTGCTGAGTCTTATTAATCGTAGCGTAATAAATTTGATGTTTAGTAGCGTACTAAGTTTGATGAAGCAACTGGCTAAAAGAAAAGTTTCTTTCAGATTACCTGTTGCAAGCTTGTCTGTTAATTTATAATTCGATATTTTTGTCATACCATCGTTACTATTTAATGCGTCCGTTCCTTATATCAAACAATATTGCGCGTAATTGGTCATGAATCAATATTGGCTGCAAATATTTTACTTTATATTAATGTTATATTAATGTTCCTAGTTAACTCAGAAATTCCAAAATTTATTTTAAGACATAAAAATGTTTAACTAATTATAAAATATTCGAAGTTGGTTAAATTACATTTGACATAATATATGCAATATTTAATAAATTATATTTTATATTTTATTATATTTTGATTGTATGTTGCAATATTTAATATTTTCATATTTATTTATATTTAATATTTAACAAATATATATATTTTAATTTTAAATATATATATTTTTATTAAATATATATAATTTTATGTGTATTTGTCAAACGATATTTATATAATATTTAAAGGGGCAGTTTTATCATATTAACGCTAATATGGCGTAAAATATAAAAAAATAAAAATATTAATTATATGTATAAATAAAACGACAAATGTGACAAAAATATTCGATTGTTATACAAAATTTACGTAAATACATTTTTAAATATTTGTAGTATACGTGCTTGATAAATAATACAACGCTTTAACTTAACTTTACGATATAAAATGCAAATGCTTTAATAATGATATAATCATTGTTCGATGAATTCGCGTATTTCAATTTCAATGTATTACGTTCCAATAATGACACGGATTATACCGTATCTCTGTGTGCTCGTAAACTGTCGTATTATATCCGAGTATTCTGGCAACAGAGTAATACCTGGCTATTGGCTCCCGGCAACCTAAAGTCGAACTCGCGCAATAATCGATTCTTTCCCGTGAAGAAGAAAGACGCTCATCCATCTCTTCTCTCGTTCTTCGCGAAGCTGCTCTTTTACCGCTCCACTCCGCCGCCACCTTATTCCCCCACAGCCGCCCCTAACTCCTCTCTCCCCCTTCCTGCCACCTACCTCTTCGGGAACTCGTAGGATCCGCGGTATTTCATATCTGGCGCAAATCCAATCCTATGAATATAATTTTCCACGCGAGCAAAGTTTTATTGTAATCGTAAATCCTTCTGTAAATTGGCTGGCGCTATCAATAACCGATGTGGCGGTACAACTCCGTCCTGCCCCCCCCCCCCTCCTACCGCTTTCTGCCATCTTCCTATCCCCTTTCTTCCGATGCCACCATTCGTAGACCTCAATCTCTCGCTGTAATACACTGAGGTGGTGATCGGTGAGAGATGAAAACAAAAACGAGCGGAAGAGGGAAGAGGGTTGAGAGTTTGAGGGTTCTATGAGCTTTTTTTCGAGCCGAAAATGCGATAATCTGTGGTTGGAAAGGACTTCTTCCGCCTTTCCGATGGGAAAGTGACTCCTTTGCAAAGAAACGAAACTACGCTACGATGCGTTATTATTCGGTCGGATGAGAATGATTGATCGATCGCGCTCGCGGTTCGGCGTTTTATCGTTTATTATTAATTTGTCCGTTGGTGTGTTATTTTCTAAATATACGCGCCCCATTCTAGAGCCATAAAGTGTTGTATTTCTCACACGATTTACCAAGAAAAGAGAATGGCGATATATTTTTTTTATAACTGTCCGATTTAATATATCCGATTATAATCACGTATGTGATAGAACGAACGCATTTGATTAATCTGACTAAATACACAATCGAATAATTATTATTTGCTATAAAATATAATTATATGTATATGTAAGCAAACAAAAAAAATATTAGTATTGCATCTCAATACGATTGTTCATATAAATATTAACAATCGCAAATAGTCGCATAATATGTGAAAAAAAAATTTAGAAATTATCTATTCATAGATGACCAATAATAATAATAACAAATAATTAGATAATATTTACGGAAAATTGCCTGAGATTTTTTTTTTCGATTGTACAATTAAATTTTGCAATGTACACGTCATTAACATATTTATAATGTAATTACCTAAGACCACGTCCTGATTCTCCTCTGACCAGTGGAGTCTGTACACTTCCCTGAAAAACAGCACCGCCTTCGCCGGTCACTCTCAACATTTCCGCTCCCACGATAACCTGTTCCCTGTCCGCGGAAAAGAGCACCCCTCCCCGAGGATCGGTTATTCGGAAACCTCTGGATACGCAGTCGACACGATCCTCTCCTAGAAAGAGAAGAGCACAATGTGCTTTGTGATTCTAGATTTTAAATACAATTATATATACACAACAAATTATTTATATTCTTACATACATATTATTTAATTTATAATTATTCATTTTTAATTATTTCAGAAATTAATCTCACATTTTATCTATGTAATATTTACATTCATATATATATATATATGTATAGAAAATTGAGATTATTCGTTAATGTTGGGTTATATATGAAAAATGCAGGCTATTATACGCGGCTATCTTTATAACTTACCAACTGTTAATCGCGCGAGAAGCCGACCATCGTGAGATCTCGCCGAGGCCGTAAAATTACTCCATGATTCCAACACCAAGTTTTTGCCCTGTTGAGATCTCAGGTTGGAGGCCACTAGAGCATCTAACACGGTAGCTTGACCTCTTAGTACGATTCCCCCAGGCACCACTTTTAGCGAACCGATACCTTCCTGAAAGAAAAGGAAATGACTGTCAAGACAGAGGGGTAGAAGAAAGGGAACAAACTGTCAAAACTTTTTAGGCCACAGCTATAACATCTCGACAAAAATAGAGCAGAGTCTTGTCACTCAAGCCTTGATTTATTGCTTCCTTGTATTTTGTATATCTATTCTGCTTTTCATCAAATTGAGAGAGAGAGAGAAAGAGAGAGAGAGAGATAGCTGACTCAGACTTTCTCTGTTCTCTATAAATCCTATTTCTGTCATCGCTAAAATATATTTTCTTTTTAACGATCTTTCACTTAATTTCCTGATTAATTATATTAAGATTGAAAGATGTTGAAAGATTGACGTCAAATTTATGGCGGAAACCATCGTCAAAATTAAAATTGAAAAGGCAGCATGGCAACGTGTATTAAACCGAGATAGTCGAAGATACTTCCGGCGCGCCAGCAAAGCCGGAATTTATTAAAGTCGGACCCCGCGTCGGAAAGCCTCGTAATATCGATATCCGCCTTCGCGAGTGTGCTCGCCCCATTGCGCTCGTATCGTAAAATAAAATTATATACTCCATTACTGTGTCGAGTTTCCGCGTGACGGTATTAAGTATCGGCGGCAACCGCCATTATTGCCACTTCAGACGGCTGAATTATAAATGCCGGCAATGATCTACATGCGAGTTACACGCGGTGATCCATTGTACCCGTTCGTTTGTAATATCTATCGTACATAATATCCGAAACGATGACGTAGGCAGAATTTTATTTTAACTCGCGGTATCTTCCTTTCTTACTCCTTGGTTCTCTTTCGCCCCCGGGATGTATCGAGCGTAGAGGGGAGGTGGGCTGCCGGGGTGGATGGGGCGAAAGGAGAAACACACCATAAAGTAGACACATTGCGCGTTTGCATTCATCTCGTAAACTTCGGATAGTCTCCCACCTGGGACTTATCCCGAGCGGAAAGTGCAATTTGGCGTTTATGAAACGGTCTTACCGCGCATAATTGCGATCGAACTTTGCCTTCCTTGGCTGCGTTAAGCGGTATATGTCTGGTTGAAAGAGTGAAAGTGGCCGTATTTCATTTTAAAATGATCGTAGCTTTTGCAAAGTAATCGAGAGAAACGTGCTACGTTCAGACATATATTTATAGGACGGGGATAGTCTCGGGAAAACTCTCGAGAAAATTATCAGTCGGGATTAGATTAAACCACCGAATTAAAACCGTGGCAGTTGAAAGCTAAAATTGCGTAGATTTTACCCGCGCGCATCAATACGGATTACATCGTTCTTTTGCGCGCGAGATGAGCATAGTTCGACGCAGACGATTACATTTCTCGTATTAACGTGAATGCCGCGTATTTTAATATATTGCTTCGTATTTTTCGCGGAAAAATTGCACGTGTAAAACGTTAAGAACAGTTGGAAATGAACAGACCGTTTGGCAAATTTCCCGCATCGTCGTCTTCTCTCTGCGTCTCCTTTAAAATACTACTTCGCGGTAAAATAACTCGTCTTTCTCGTGCCTACCGTCCACATTGGTTTCCGATGATTGGCTGCTCGATCGAAAGCAATTGCCACGCTCTGTCCACTTATTATTACAGCTGCGGAAAAAGAAGGTCGCTGGGGTACACGCTGTCCAAACTGGTTGAACTTCCGATCAAGCGGCATCCAATTCAACGGTTTTTTTTTTCTTTTAGATCGAACATCGTGCGCTGACCGAGTCGAATATTTGCATACGGTGGAGCAATTTGATACGTCAATTCGCAGTGAGGCGATAGGGGTAATTTCCCTAATCAAAATGTGAAAAGTCGAACGACAACGGAAAGACAAATTTTAATATCTTTAACAGAGTCGGGACTTAATACAGATTTAGGTAGATTTTAGGAAAAGTTTTGAATCATATTTAATTCGAACAAACAATAATAAATTTCATGTTTATATAAAGACTCGAGTTTCTAGAGAAGTATTTTTGAAATAAATAAAAGCAATTTTCATCAAAAACGTAAGAGAATCTTTTATTAGTATCTTTTGTTGTTTTAGAATTGCACTATAAGCTCAAATATTGACTATTCAAATATTTTATGCCAGTGTTTAACGATTGAATAAATAGAAAGTTGCGAATATTTAATCTAGAAAACTTTTATGATATGCGAAAATATTATATATATATATATATATTTTGCTTGCAATGAATAATATTGCCGGCAAGATTAAATTATTATTCTACATAGACACAATTATACAGTGGGCGAGTGAACGAACAGTGTAAGGATTACTTTTATCGTATGCAGTTTTGCTAATATTTTTTTAGCAGCTTTTTTGACCGATCCAATTGTATAATTTGCTTAATTGATGGCATAATTGCCATCATAAATGTCGGCGTTTCGATGGAAATGATCGGTTGTTAGATTTGGCTAAGCACCGGTTACAGGATCGCGGTTTAAACACTCGTTCATAGAATTTGTCCAAACATCAATCTGGATGTGCATAGTTGCGATCGTCAATGAGAGCAAGAGAAGGGAAGAGGAGATGCCGAGCCACCGGCACTCGATTAGCCAAATCGTTCGGAAAACGATACGATCTCTTTGCCCTCTACTTAACCGTAATCGTAAACCCCAATAGCGTCCGCGGAGAGCGAGCGAGGGAGGTTGTGAGGGAAAAACAGAAAAAGATCCGATCGTGTTGGGAGAATGGGATCGAGAAGAAACGTTGGAAGAGGAAGAAAAGAGAAAGAGAGACACGAGGTACACAATAAGAAGGAAGAAAGTGCAAGCGTGGGAGAGTAAGCGGCAAAACGAGAGAAGAATGAGAAAAATAGAGAGAAAGAAAGAGCTATGGCTGCACCTGCTTTTTAGAATCGCCAGACGGTCTGGAGGAACCTTTGGAGTCGAGAAGATCGTCCAATCGTAGTGGTGAGAACGAGCGGCAGTAGTAAAAGTAATCTACCGTCAGACAGGTATCATTAAGTTCGAGGCTTTATACCCTTTTTATCTCGTTGTCTGTCGACCGTTGATAAGGGGATTTAAGCGACAATAAAAAAATATCGACCCTTAGCCTTCTCGCAGCGCGAACGAGTGCGTGTCTCTCTCCACCTCTTTATCTCGATTTCGCGCGGTTTTGTTTTTCGGCAATAGTGAAGAAGGGGAGGATAAATAAAATAGAGAAAGGGGAAAATTTGCGCAATTAGCCGATTAATATTCGGTCGCTGCGTCGAATCGACCATACGCAAACCGTATTTCCTTCGTATCGACGCGATTGCCGTCGCCGTCGCGATGCCATCAAGTATTTATCGTGTCGAAAAATTGCGGATTTATGTTCGACGAGGGAAATTGCGCGGCAAGGCCGATTAACCGATTTCCGGTCGCGCTGAAATCAATTCGCGCGACGCGATGTCGACGAATTTATTTGCACTTTTCTGCGGGAAGAATAATGCATCGTTTTATATCTCGCGAATTTTGTTCTGAATTCCTCCGAATATCGAGACAGGTGATTCCGCGCGACAAGGGTGCAGGCAGGATAGCGGGTTGGCGCCGGTTGCGGCACGTAATGAAATCCAAATAACACCCCTCGTAAGCGTATATCATCGTAACGACGCCTCGGCTCGACATTACTCGGTTGGTCGTCCATAAATTAATATAAAGCACGTTATTTACAAGGATTACAAAGGCTTTTTGCTTTAGTGCCACGCCTGCTTTAATCGTGGTCAATTTTTTCGTCGCTTTCTTATCGTGATGAACTTTGCTTGAGACGATATACTAGAAAAGATGCGGGTATATTCTTTTATGGCGTAGATTTATTCTATTTTTAATTTTTAAAAAATGGACTGATATTATTATATTATTTAACAAGCTCGATTTTAATTAAAATTCTCTTGCTCGATTAAATTATTATATAGAATTGCGTAAGAGAATTCAAAAATAGAAGGAAACGAGATAAGTAAATATTCCTGACGTGAAAGTACTTGAAATAAACTACCTGGTAATTCTTCGAGAATTTTGAGCTATGCCCTCGATATTATTTAAGTTCCGTCAGAAAGCAGCGACGAAAACCCAAGAATATATTTCGTAAATTGCTTTAACATAAATTTACATCCGTATGAAATTCACGCCAGGACGTAGTCAGATTTCAATTGCAATGAATTTCGTTCGCGCAGATGAATAGAAGTCGGCGCGCTCTGAACGCGCGCGCCACGCCATTTTTGCGAGCCGATTCGCGTGCACATCTCATTCCGCGGAAGTCGGAAATTACATCCGCATCCGGGAAATAATACGCTCGTTTCCGCCAAAAAAGAGAATGTAACTTCCAAAATCCATTGTTTCTCCCCTTTTCTTTTAATTAAAGTTCTATATCGATTCAGTTTCAAAACTATTAATGAAGATTCATAATCGGCTTATAATTAATTCTCTCGTGATATCGCTTATTTATTCTAATTATATCCCGCGCGATATCGCCGGGATATAATTACGTTATCAAAAATGATAATCGTTAAATCTCTCGTATACGAGCGAACGTAGCGTTCGCGTGAGTTTATACGACCGTGCATCGTTGACGGGAGAACTCGCGTACACGTGTATACTTTTCATGACAGACGGTCATACGTTTCGCTTTCTCACACACAGTATGTACGTTGGGGTGATTACACATATGCACGTGGGCGCTACTACGTGCGGCCACGCTAATGCACCTCACGTAATTATCCCAAAGCCGGACGACGACGTTAGCAGTCTCGTCTAACTTCTGCGCCGCGCCGCGAGGTAATCCGACTCGGAATCCTGTCACCGCCTTTTCCCCGGGGGATCCTCGGCGACGATGAACCCCCCTCGGTAGTCGTAACCGAATTCGAGGTCCATCCTCGGCCGTCGCTTATCATCCTCTCCGTATCACGTTATTGCAATTTCACGTTATTTTACCGCGTAACAGTGCGGGGATCAAATCGCGGTGGTTCCTAATGCGTCTTGCGAGGATTAACTCGCGCGTTATCCCGGTGACGATCGTCCGGGTCATCTTCATGCA